TACAAAATATGCAATTTTGTAAAAATATTGTTTTCTTGGTTTATGAACTTAATAACAATCATATACATATTTTATTAAGTCTATATAATCATTTTGTAATATTTCAAAACATGGTTAAGCTAAAATATCAAAACTCATATGTTTACATTTTTATGTTTGGACTATTTTGCAAAATAATGATATTTTTCATTTAGGAGGTCTTTTTTGAAAACCAGTTATTATACCATGTTTATTATCATGTCTACAATTATTTTCCAAAGTTTTATATTTTTTGGAATTTATTTGATAATTTTAAACAGGGTTTTTAAAATCAGAAAAAAACTTTCAAAACATGTTTTTCATGTATCAGTTTGCGGTCGACCGTCACGATCGACCGCCTTGAGTCCAGAGACTCGGAATGTTTTTTTGATGGCTCATGATCGACCGTGGAGGTCGACCGGATTAAGTCTAGAGTGTTTTGCGGTTGACCATCACGGTCGATCTGATGTTTTCCTAAGCCAGAATTTGCCTCTGAGCTGCTCGCGGTCGACCGCGTGTTTTTCACGGTCGACCGCCGATCGCCCAACGACTATAATTTGTACAGAATTTGATTTCTAATTCTATGAGCTTTTTGGTCTTTTGCTTGAGATTTTTGGCTGACGTTTTGGGTGGCTATATATACCCCCTTGCTCTCATCCTTCACAAGCATCTAAGAAATGTTTTAAAAGAGTTTTACAAGGGTTTAAGTTTGTTTTGTGTTTGTTTAAAAGAGTGTTTAAGAATTTGTTTGTGAAGAAAATTTCACAAGAGTTTGAGGAGATCATCAATCTTGTTTGGGTTTCAATCTACATCCCTTCACTCTTGTTTTAGAGAAGTTTTCTTAAACTCTTTATCTAGCTTATTTATGCTTAACTTGTCATATTTATTTTGCTAGATTAAATTGAGTTTAGACTTGTTTTGAATTACCTCTTTGTTCACACACAACCTATTGAGCTTATTGCATTTACATTCATAGTATAATTTGGGATTGTGGGTTTGTGACTAAGAGTTGTGCTTAATTGAGTTCTCACCTTGTTTAGAGAACAATCATTTGATTTGTGATCTTTAATTGTGAGGATTCACTTTGTAATACACTAGTACACCGAGAGGAGTGTGTGGTCACTTCCAAGAGGAGTGGCGTCGGTTGACCAACCTAGGGAGAGGTTGTATCCGAGCACTTGAGGAATGACACGGGCTAGAGACCAACACTTAGAGTGTGTGGACTGTAATTATATTGTGAGATTGTGATTGTTGATCGGTGAGCATTGAAAACCGATATTGTGTGGTGTAAACGTTATTCGGGTAAGCGTAGAAAACCCGGTTGTGTTAGTAGATTTCTCCCCGGGAGTGGGGAGCGGAGACGTAGGACGGAAGGTCCGAACTCCGTGATCATATCGTGTGTTTGAGTTTGCTTTGGCGCATTTGCTCTTATGTTTATATTTCTTGTCGTCATTGTCCATTGCTCATTATTTATATCATCCACTATCTTGTTTATTTTGTTTACCCTTGTGTATATCACTTATCCTAGCTCACATATCTTGTTGTATTTTATACTTACTAGGATAACCTGTTAATTAGTTTTAATTAGCATAATCGGATTAGATTAGCATAAGACCCTAATCATCCCCCCCTCTCGGGTCTAACAACTTAATCATGATATTAGTGCATAAAACCTAGTAAGTAGTAAATGAGTGAGAAACTACATGTACATTAGTGCTATTATACCACCGCACATTTAATATAACTAGGTTTTATACACGTGCAATGCACGTGGTTAAATACCATGATTAAGTATTTTTAGCTTATTTTCTAACTAAACCTCAGTTCCACTTTAATAGTTTGTACTCACTTTTATCTCTAAACTTTAATATTGCAATTATTTATTTTCTTTGATGCTTATTTAAATGGGCTACACCCAATTTAAATTTTCATATTGATATTTCAATTAATAAAAAACAAATATAATTTGAAGTTAATTTGAATTTTTATATTATTTTGACTGACATGAAACCAAGCTTTACTTGAGAAAGTACAGTATTATAAAAGTAAAAAATATTAAAACAATGTTATACAAGAAATATGAATATTTAAAACCAATAAGGTAAAATGAGCGGTTAAAAGAATGCTAAAACGATACAAAAGAGAATATGAAGTTTGCTCCTAATCATTGATAGACTTCATAAAAATTATGAATTAAAGATTAATGCTAACTCCAGTATACGTTTATATGATAAAAGCATCCATATAAGCATATAAAAGTACTAAAAAAGCTCATGAAACTCCCTTCTAAAGAATCCTAAATTCACTCAAAAAATTAAACTATTTAATAAAATATTCAAAAAATATTATCTTTTATTCTTTATGTTTTATTTTTTTATTGAGCTAAGGTCAATCCTTTCTCACCTTTATCTTTTCTTAAGCAATTCTAGAGTAGTGTCTTCATTATCTACATCGATTGTGATATCATGCTAGAGTTGTATTTGTTGTTGTTGTTATCTTTCTTGGGCTCACTAATCTTTTATCTTGTTGTTTAATTTCACAAAGAAGTTAAATGTATTTTTAATGTTCAACACAAACTTCTTGAAATACAGACTTGTAGTTTTTTTTCTATTTCAATGAGAATAAATATTAATTTCATAAATATAAAATTCTTTGTGTTTCTAATTTATTACTCAAATAAGATTAGGAGCTACCTTTTTTCTCCATAATAAATTCTTCCGATGTGCATCCAATAAGAGTTTCTGTTACGTCAATAATATTACATTTGCTCTATCCCTGTGATTTTCCACAAAGATCTAAAAAAATACCTGTATTTTTTATTACCAATTTGACTTAGGTTATAATATTAATATTTAATTTCTTTAGTACTTCAAGAATAATGTATGAAATTTATGAATACTTACTAATTTTTCTTATATCTTCCAGAGAGAATTCTTCTTTGATTGAGATATTATTGAATTATTCTTCAATGTAACTCAATTAGTGCTTCTTTAATAAATATGTCTTATGTTAATGCCAATTCAAATGATTCATGGACGTTATCTGAATTTTAAATTTATTTCCGTCACTTTTTTGTTTGCAATGGAAATAGCTTGATTCTTTTAAAGGATATCTCTGAACATTCTGATAGTTTTTCTGTACGTAATTCATTGTATTCTTTTACCTTATAAATGTTATTAACATCAGAGATTAATGTTTCTAAATTATAATCAATTAATGCTAAGATATTATATTATAGTCTTTTATTATTTTTATAGATTTAAACATCTATCAATTAATGTTACTAAGTATTTTGATGCTCCAACTTATTAGTAAAATTATATGCAGTTGCTTTAATTTATATAGTGACGATAATTTTTAAGCTATAATATTTTTTAAATTTTTATTTTTTAATCGGATATGTTTAATCAATTCTTATTGCTTTTGTTTATCAGTATCAACTTAGACTATTTTTAGATGTTTTTTTATTTTCCAAGTTTTAAAATTCTTGTTCTTTTTTGTGGTTTTGAATTTTGAGGGTTTGATTTGTAATTATAAAACTTTGGGAGTGCTTTAAAAAAAATTACTTTTAAGTTTAGAAGTTGTAAGTTATATTGCTTGTAACTCTAAAATTTTAAGGGTGTTTTTTGCAATTTCAAAAACTATAGATTAATTTTTGGAAAATTTAAATTTTAGTGGTCTACCAATAGTTTCAAGATTTAATGTGTATTGGTTATAAATTTTAACAATTTAGAGTTTTTTATAATTTTTAAATTTTGAAAGATTTTTTCTATAATTTTTATAACATTGAGGTTAATTTCGACAAATTTTTAATTTTTAGGTTCACGAGGGTAATCTCTTGAGTTTATCTTTTGTTGTTTGTAAATTTTAAAAAATTTAGAATTTTAGGGTTGTTTTTTATAATTTAAACTTTTAAGGGTATTTTTATAAATTTTGGGACATTGAGAGTATTAATTGAAAATTTTAAATTCTTTAGAGGCTGCTGTTAATTTCTTAATTTTATATTTATTGTTTTAAGTTTTAAAATGTCAGAAATTTTTAGGTGTATTATGGTAATCCGTTGAATTCATCTATGTTGTTTGTAAGATTTAAAATTTTAGAATTTCAAGTAAACTTTTGAGTGTGTTTCTATAATTTTTGAGACAATGACGTGTTATTCACAGAATTTAAATTCTTCGCAAACTACTGTTAATTTCTTGATTTCATGTTTATTATTTTAAGTTTTTAGACGTTAGGATGATTTTTATGCAAACTACTGTTAATTTCTTGATTTCATGTTTATTATTTTAAGTTTTTAGACGTTAGGATGATTTTTATAATTTTAAACTTTTCAGGGTATTTTGTATGTTTATTATTTTAAGTTTTTAGACGTTAGGATGATTTTTATAATTTTAAACTTTTCAGGGTATTTTGTGTAATTTTAAAACTTTTTAGCTTTTTTTTGTAACATTTTATGTATTATAGTATGTTGGCTACATATAATTTCTTTATCTTATCAAACTAATACTACAAAGATATGTTTTATATTTTATTAATATTATTTTTTAATTTGTCAAGCTACAGATAGTTCACGTTGGATAAGGATATGATATAATTAGGATTATGATAGATTAAGATATAAATAAAATATTTAAAATAGTGAAGGATAATATTGACCATAGAAATATTTTACCGAACTCGTGCTTTCAAAGGGAGTATGATATGACTAGTCCTTTTCCATAACACAGTCCCAAGATTTTTCTTAATTGCACCAAATAAATAAGCCAATAAATAAAGAACGAGCATTAGTTGCGGAATTTGCTAACCGTCCGATCCATCATCAACGGTTCTAATTAAGTTACAATACAAGCAAGGATCCCTTTCTCAGTTGGCACCACATATAAATCCTCTCTCTGGGGTTTCTTTCCGGGACTCCGACACGCACTGACGCTGCTGCTCTCAGGTTCGCCCCCAATCTCTCTCTCTCTCTCTCTAGAAATTGACATCTCCATCGCTTCGATGTCAATCTAATGATTTTGTTTCAGATCCGGTGCCGCGATCCTCGAATCTCTTGCTAATTTATCATTTCGTTTGTATTCGCGCTCTAGGGTCTCGAGTAACTTCTATGATTGTTTGCGCTAGGATTTTTACGTGCGATTAGTTTTATATTGGAGGGATTAGGGTTATGATTTACTCTAGATCTAAGGTTATTGATTTTGTGTAATGATGATTTATTTTTTTATGGAGAGGTCCCTTTGGTCATTGGCTAGATTAAAGGCACCATCTTTATACTTGTAAGATCCTTGAGGAGACTGAATACTCATGTAGAAGGCTGATAATATGAGTATGTTTCTTGACCAATCAAAGTTTTAACGGTTATAGAATTTACTTGCACAGTTTATCTAATTATCCTTTAAAAGAAGATAAATATTATATTTTTATGTGTAGATATGTGATAACTTTATAGTGTTGATGTGTATCCACTTTATGTCTTAACAGTATTTTTGTAAATATTGATATAGTTAGGAGGAGAACCGTGATCATTGTTTTTCCATCTTTTACTTCTTACATTGTTCGGTGTTATCAAATCAATAGATAGATCATTGCATTTGGTTCTATATAAGTCCAAATTTTTAATGTACAAAGTTGTATAACTTTTGTAGATAAATTATAAAGTTATTATATGATCTAGAAGGCTTCTTGTTTCATAGCTTAAACCTGCTTAAACCTGGGAGAATCTTTTTTGTTCATATTGGTTTCTTTTTGACACAATTGACAATGTAAGAATTTTTGTGTTTCTTCCTTTTGCACCTCTCAAATGAACAATGCGACTTAATGCATTAAAATAATGCATTTGTTATCTTTTATTTATGTATTCTACCTTTCTACCTGAGGATTTAACATCTCTTGTAGTTTCTGAGCCTCTGCTGATATCATCATTGAATGTCATTTTTGTAATGTCCCAAGTTTATTGTAGTATGGTGGTTTAAGCATACTTAACTGTAGAGCTTGGCATGGTTCCTCCCTGAAAATTTACTGTCTACAAGTAACTTATGTTCATGGGAACTTATTGTAAGTCGGCCTTGCGGTGTGAGAGCTATGCAGTTAGACTGTAAACATAGTTAGCCCCTAAAAGGAGCTTTAAAAAGAACTTCATCTATATGCTTGTGAAAAATTATGTATGATAATGAATCCTGCACTATGGATTAGAGAAGAGGATGGGGGTTTTCAGTGCTGGTAGCTGTTGTATCTTATACAACGACAGAATAGAAAAACGAAAGATATGAAGACTGGTTGATAGGGTTAACCCTAAAAAAACAAAAAAATTTGATCCTTAAGGCTTCCAAACAAATTTCAGCATTTTGACATGGGCTTTAACAAAGATAAAAAGTAAAATCAAGTAATTACCTAATCTTGTCTAGAAACTTGCTGAAAACAGAAACTTATTTGACACAGGGACAAAATAGGAAGGCGAAAGATGAAGATAGGCTGATAGGATCAATCCTAAAACCAAAAAAGTTTGATCCTTAAGGCTTCCAAAATAATCAGCATTCTGACATGGGCTTTAACAAAGATAAAAATTAAAATCAGGTAATTAGCTAATCTTGTCCAGAAACTTGCTGAAAACAAAAGCTTATTTGACATCCTTGTATTTTCTCCTCTTAAGTGAACCCATAGTGTGTTTATTATGAAGTTTATAATACAGGTTTCATTTGAAAGCTGTTTTGCATCAATTACTCATGTAAATATATCAACTTTGGAATCTAAAACTTATGGGCAAATTAAATTAGTACTTACCTTAGTATATGTGGCTAATAAAATAGGATTTTACCTAAAGTGATTGAATCATAGCCCAAATCAAACTCAAGATGGCGTGTAAACCTCTAGATGCCAATTCCAAACAGGCTCAATCTTAAAGAGCAGCTTTTTACTTTAGCCAGGGCTGAAGAAACTAAATGGAAACAAAGATCTATAATTCAATGGCTCAAAGAAGGGGATAGCAATAATGCTTTCTTTCATAGATCTACCTCTTTTTACGGAAGAAAAAAATTTCATTCCTCATCTTATTTCTAACAACATTATCATCTCCTCAGAGATAGATATCAAGCAGTCTTTTTATGACTTTTTCTCAGATCTTTTCAAAGCCCCAAGAGACTCTAACCTTCTAGTTAACTGGGAAATGTTATATCCTACACCTTCCCCAAATCTCTCCTCTCTTGACCTTGTTTTCACCCCAGAAGAAATCAAGAGGGAAGTCTTTGATTTGCACCCAGACAAATCCTTTGGACCTGATGGTCTTCCAATGTTATTCTTCCATACATTCTGGAATGACTTGTATTTGGATATCATCTCCTTCATTCAATCCCTCCATTCTAATGCCCATCTGCTGCACAACTTCAACTACTCTTACATCTGCCTAATCCCCAAGAAGGATGGTGCAGAATCGCCAAAAGACTTCAGACCCATCAGCCTCATCAATAGTTCAGTCAAAATCTTTTCTAAAGTGTTGGCAAACAGACTCAAACCCCTCTTATCCTCTCTTATCGGTTCTTCACAATCTGCCTTTCAGAGCGGCAAGTCAGCTTTAGATTCCATCCTCTTAGCTCACGAGATGATCAACTATTACTCTGCAGGTAAAAAAGAGATGTATGCCATAAAAATGGACTTCTTTAAAGCCTTTGATTGTGTCAATTGGAATTTCCTCTCCTCTCTTTTTCTTGCTAGAGGATTCAGTCCTTCTTGGTGTCAGTGGATTCACTGCATCCTTTCATCCTCCAAAGTAGCAGTCCTAGTCAATGGATCCCCTACCAAATTCTTCCAATGTCATAGGGGATTAAAACAGGAAGATCCTCTTTCCCCTTTGCTTTTTCTTCTTATAGCTGATGTCCTTTGTAAGATGATCCAGAACAGTGTTGCAGCTGGAGATCTTTCAGCCCTTAAGCTAAGAGGAGATCTCAAAGCTATAAGGACTCTTCAGTTTGCGGATGACACTCTCCTCTTCTGTAATGCTTCTAACAATGATATCAGAGTTCTCAAAAACATTCTTCTCATCTATGCTAATGTATCTGGCCTCAAAGTCAACTACTTAAAATCCCATCTTTTCTACCTTGGTAGGAATCCAAACAAAGGTGATCAACTAGCTTCTATCCTTAACTGCCCAGTTAGTACTCTCCCTTTTTCTTATCTTGGTTCCCTCTCAAAAACGACTCTCTCTCTAGGCAAGAATGACAACCTCTCTTAGACTCCTTCTCGAGGAAGTTGGCCTGTTGGAAAAACATATCCTTATCTATTGGAGGTAGGCTAACCCTCATTAACTCGGTCATATCTTCTTTTCCTCTATACTACCTGTCCTTCTTCAAACTTCCTTGTTGGGTCATTCTTGCCATTGATAAGATTAGAAGGAACTTCCTTTGGGGAGGTAGCTCTCAACCATCTAAAATTAAAAATCTAGTCAGATGAGATATAGTTTGCAAGGATAAAGCAGGGGGGATTGGGGGTAAAAAATTTGGATCTCTTTAATCAAGCCCTACTCTCTAAGTGGATTTGTAAAATCTTAGATAGAGAGCCTCATCAGTAAAGTCATCTTTTCTATATATCCATCCAATCAATCCAACCCTATAGCCAATCCTAAGAGTACTGCATCTAGGTTCATCCTTGATCTAAAGGCAATATACCCTACTTTTATCAGTTTTGTCAGATGGAAAATAGGGTCGGGTGAGTCTTGTAAGTTCTGGTTTGACAGGTAGGTGGGGAATAACTCTCTTAGTAGTTTATTCCCCCAAAGCTTTTAAATTGGCTTTCTCTTCATCCAGTGTAGTCAACTCCCAAGGATATTGGCATAATAACATCTGGAGATGGTACCCAATCCTGAGGAGAGGCATCACAATGGAAGATAAAAAGGACATTGATGACCTTATTTCTTTCATCGATCAAGTTAGGTCTGTTCAGAGTAAATTTGATGCTATTTTCTGGCCCTTCAATGCTTCGAACTCCTTCTCGGTGAACTCCCTATATGGCATACTTAACAATGATGGTACATTATCCCCTCTTCACATCTTTATTTGGAGATCCCCAACTCCCCTCAAGGTCAAGACCTTCCTATGGATCCTTAGCAAGAAAAAACTTCAAACCAAGGATAATTTGATCAAAAAGGGATGGTCGGGGACTCATCTTGCTCTCTGTGTAACCAGGCGATGGAAACTCATGACCACCTGTTCATTTCATGCCCTGTTACCCAAGCAGTCTGGTCCATTTTGCTCCCATCTTCAAACACCAGCCTTTGGCCGTAGGAGGTGATCATATTGTTCAATGACAAAGAAGATTTCTTGGACAGTCAACATCATAAAGCTATCTGGAGGGTTCTGTTCCCCTGTACCTGTTGGTGCATTTGGAACAGTTGAAACAATCTTATTTTCAATAATATTCGTTCTTCTTCTTCAGTTATTGCTGCTAACTCTTCCCGTTTTGTTCTATACTGGACATGAGTCTCTAATAGCAGGCGAGCACACCAAATGTTTAATGCTGCTATCAACATTGGTCTGCAAGAGATAGCTAAAACATCTGGGAATGATGTTGCTGAAGAAAACTTCTCTTAGGGGGATGAGATCCCACCTGATTTGCCCACAGCTCCTTCTTAGATATCTCAAATAACTCTCCTCTGAGGTGGTACTGATCTTTTGGACTTCTTTGTTTTCGGATCTTCTCTGTTCTTTTGGCTGTTATGTTTTGGGTGGAGCTTGTTTTTGGTCTTGGATATGTTAGTAGGATGTAATGGTATTTTTTGCCAGATACTTTGCTTTTTTACATGAATTTCGGAAGGCTTGGAAGCTGTTGACTGGAGGGTGACGACAAAGGTCCGCTCCCCTCCGTCAATATCTTTTTTGCTCCCACCTCCTTCCTTTGTTAATCCGGGTAATCTTCTGCACATTCTCGTTGATATATATATTTTAATAAACAGGGCAACTTGCCCTATTTTTGGCTTAAAAAAAACATGAGCATGCATTACATACCTTTAATTTGTTTTCTATGAAAGACTTCTATTTTTCTTATGTAATATTCTAATGGATTTATGTATCTACATTTTGATGGGTTTTTTTGTCTTGTTTATAAGTAATTAAGCAAGTCTGTAGCTGTTATTGTTAAAGATAGGGTTCGTAATTGATGTCATTGATATGATATATGGAAATAATTTAATTTTCAAACTTCAGGTTTTCGCTCATCTAGATACGTTGGAAATTCTGGATATCTTGCTTGGATAAGGATTATTGTCCACTCAACTTTCCAGAATAATCGAAGTACTCATTGAGGCTCTTTGAATAGCCTTTTGAAGATTTGCATAGTTGGTTGCATGAACCTGTCACTGTTTCAAAAAGCCTCCGTTTCGTGCGCCTAGGCATACACTTAGGCCTAGATAGTTCCTAGGTTGCCTAACTAGCGCTTAGCGCCTAGGCGATACTTTGTCTGCCCACCTAGGTTTTGGGAATGTTTAGGGAAGCATTTTCTGCTTACATAGACTGCATTCTTTAGGCAATGATCATGATTTTCTACGTTGTGGCCTCTACGTCCTCCAACCTCATCCAAACTCCTTTAACCTCCAAATATGAACACTTCCACTACTTCCGCCTACTTGCAACAAAGACCTCAACCGCCACTTAAATTAAGAAAGAAATTTGTCTAGACACAAGTCCGGCATTTAAGATTTCTACAACATTGACATTTACTACCAATTATTGTAATTAAAAAGTAAAAAATAAGGCTCTAGATATCAGGTTCAACGCCTAGACCTCCTAGCGCTTTCTATAACATTGTTAGTTATTATTTTGGCTATTTAGTATTCAACTATGCATGGTTTATTGTGGATCTAAGATTGCTATTTTTTTTACAAATTTATATGAATTTAATACATATTTTTATTAATTATTATAATTAAATAATTTTAAAAGGAGCTAAATGGCTAGGCGCCGCCTAGGCGTCTAAGCACTAGGCGCTGGCTCAAACACTTAGTCTGCTTAGCGCCTTTTGTAACGTTGACCTGTAATTGTTTCTTCAAACTCCTTAAAAGCAGAGAAGGATCTCCAAACAATTTACTTTTTTGTAATTTAGTTATCTTAATTCTTAACGGACAAAAATGTAGCTCAAAGCTGGAACGTAGCCAAATTCTAAATAATATAAGCTCACCAAAACTAGTTTTAGTTTTTTTTCCCCACTAGCATCTTGAGTGGGATCTTGCTCTTAGAATATTTTAGATATTACATTGTTTACATTAACATATGTGCGTGATCGATGTTTGTAGCAACTATTTAGATGCTTGCTTGTAGGTTCTATGAGAGCGGGGAATGGTCACAGTAGAATTGTACTGATTGATCAGAACATAGTGAGAGACCGAAAAGTACAGTAGAGGCTGGGATTTAATTACTGCATAGAGTTGTTGTAGCCTAATCTTATCATATGCTGGTGCTAAAAACTACGGTACCTTTGCTGATATAAGATGTATGATCTAAAATGATATAAAGTTTTGGTGTTAGCAATTATGAGAAATATAACATTGTAAGTTATGAAATTATATAAGGTTGTACATGCGAAAATAGCACCTCTCTCCTAAATAGAATATTATTGAAACATTTCTCTCCTAAATAGAATATTATTGAGATTATAAGGTTGTACATCCAAAGGATGAAGAAAACACGGCAAACAGAATATTATTGAAACATTTCTCTCCTAGATATCTATTTGACACGGGTGCACGAAGTTCTGCAAATATAAATATTCAGAGGGATGTGTATATGAACTTCTTCTTTACTCAGTTTATCATATTAATAGGGTGAGATATGCAAGATTTCTATCTTAGATTTGTAGAGATGTATATGGGAATTATGGAGGATATACGAAACTATTCTAAGGTGTATTCTTCCTGTGATTGTTGATGGTCTGTCATGTTTTAAGTTTTGTTCTGAACTCTTATCTTTTTATGCCCTTAAATGATAGATGTACACTTGGAACATAAACCTAATTACTGTCATCTGTTTTGTCAGGTTGATCGATCTCCTTTATTCTTGTGCGACAGTCTGTTTAGAAGATGGCTGAGGCTCACGAAACCGATAGGAACATCGAGATATGGAAGTTAAAGAAACTTAATTATCAAAGCTTTGGAGGCGGCTAGGGGCAATGGCACAAGCACGATCTCACTGATTATGCCACCTCGTGATCAGGTATCTAGAGTGGCTAAGATGCTTGGTGATGAATATGGAACTGCCTCAAACATCAAGAGTAGAGTCAACCGACAATCTGTGTTCTATCACTTCAGCTCAACAAAGGTTGAAGCTTTACAACAAGGTCCCTCCCAATGTACTAGTTCTTTTTTACACTGGAACAATTGTTACTGATGATGGGAAGGAGAAGAAGGTTACCATAGACTTTGAGCCATTCAAGCCCATCAATGCATCGCTCTATCTTTGTGACAACAAGTTTCATACCGGGGCATTGGATGAACTCCTTGAATCTGATGACAAGTTCGGTTTCATAGTGATGGATGGAAATGGAACCCTTTTTGGCACTTTAAGCGGCAATACTCGTGAGATCCTTCACAAATTTACTGTTGATCTTCGAAAAAAAGCATGGACGAGGAGGACAGTCTGCGCTTCGATTTGCTCGGCTTCGTACGGAAAAACGTCAGAACTATGTCAGAAAGACTGCTGAACTTGCAACACAGTTCTACATTAATCCTGCGACTAGTCAACCGAATGTTGCTGATCTTATCTTAGCTGGTTCTGCTGATTTCAAAACTGAGCTGAGCCAGTCTGACATGTTTGATCCTCGGCTTCGATCAAGCTAAAATACTCAACGTAGTCGATGTTTCTTATGGAGGAGAGAATGGTTTCAATCAGGCAATTGAGTTATCAGCAGAAATTTTATCAAATGTCAAGTTCATTCAGGAGAAGAAGCTGATAGGAAAATACTTCGAGGAGATTAGTCAAGACACCGGTAAATATGTTGCATTCAGTAGAAGGAGCTGGCCTGAATTGCACCCGGACCCTCTTCACAGAAGCAGCTAGCGCTCTCCAAGAAAATTGAAGGGTTGGTGTTGCATTGTCTTTTCTCGTTCTATCGTCAAATGCTTAGTGCTAATGATGTATTTTTATTATTATTCTTGATTAGGATGAAATATAAGATTCTCGATGAATAGAGGGGAATTAATCGATCGATTGATTGGCCAGCTGGATGACGCAATATCGGAGATCGAAGATTACAATCGGTCACCTGATGCTTTGCAAACTGTTGCTTGGTCTATCGTGATACTTCGTGTTCTAGTATGTTAATTTGATTCATCATAGTCTACAGTATGTTAATTCGCGGTGTCTGCCTCATTGTCATGGTCTCTGATGTTTCTGATTACATTAGCTGTAAAACTCTGAACGTCTGTCGCAGCTAGTTTGTTTTGGCAGAACCTATGTAATTACCTTTTATGCTGATATTGTTTCCTTATTTAGGAAGAATTGATGTTGGGTGCATTTTTGCAGTGTTAAAACTCTCATGTGATCGAAAGCGTCAGGTACCTGCAACATCTTTATGTTACTGATCAATCTTTTCTAAAATTTTGGCTGCGTGTGCATTTATTTGAGACATGTTAGGTGCATGCTTTTGCGTGTGTTCTTTAGTTGTAAATAGATTTCTAGTTATTTGCCTGGGTTTAATCAATGGGCAGCTGCTTCTACTGAGTGATTGCTTCGTAATGTATGTTTGCGCTGCGAGGGCATTTTTTCGACATTTTTTTATAGCACGGGCTTCTTTGTGTGAGAATTTGGTAAAGCAATACCTTTGAGTCCAAGTTGAGGTCATATGGATCTACAACTTATACTAAGGACATATCAATATAAATATTTCTGCACATATTTTTGGTGCTGTATTTGAAAATTTTCGGAATACTAGGAGGATTAATCGAGAGTTGTAATTCAAATGTGAATAGGTTTTGCGTAATTTAGGGGTTGTTTGGTTGCCATTTTTTAGGGGTTGTAATACCGTAGATGTAAGTGTTATAGTATTACAACCAATTCCTCTGTTTGGTTTGTTAAAAGGGGCATGGTATTGTAGCTGAGTTGGTAGATCCTTAGCAATTCACAGCAAAAAGCAAAAAATTAGGCTCGGTCTCGTACGTGTTACTGTAGCTATCAGCATAGTCGGACTACTCAATTTTGTGGTATGAAAAAAAAAAACCAAACAGGCCCTTATGTGTTTTACATTCATAATTGTAAAAGCTTTACATTAGTTGACTAGTGAGTTAGATAAGTGTATATCTAACTCACAAAAATCTTGAACTATTTTTATTGGAAAATGTCTTGAACTATTTTTATTTAAAAAAATATCACAAAATCTTTAATCAGCACTCTTCTAACAGCATTAAACGTACATTTTAAAAAGACTAAATCCCTATTACGATATTAGTATGAAGGCAAGAATGAGAGGTTAGTTTATATAAACTAAATGAGAGTTGAATTGCAAAAAAACTGGCTTTGTGAAACTTAAGAGTGGTGCAATAAAAGCCTACTGATGAGATAGATAACCGTTGAGAGTTGAACTGCAAAAGAAGAATCATTTAACTTGACAATAATAAATGCCCGGTCCCATATATTCGGGTTTATGGTCCCTGCAAATTCTAATAATCAAATGTCGAACGTGCTCATGTGTTCATAAATATACGGTGGTCACACTCGATAAATAATGCTCCACCTTGACAGATTATATCCCAAGATAATATTTCCATACTTATAATTTCAAAATTTTTGGTTATTTGCACTTAAAATACTTCGAACTTTACTCCATTTCTAACCTTTAATATCATAACTTTTTTGGTCAAAAATACCCTAAAATAATTTAAGAGGGGGCGTCCCAAAGACTGATGCCTGAAATTGATAGTATTACATATGTTATGTTCTAAGAACTCGGTGTATAATTTTAGGCTTCACATCATACTTGCTCCCAAAACCATCAAGCTTGTTCATTTTCTCCGTGAACTACTTTTAGTTTCTTCTCGTCGCTTAAACTATTGAATTCATTATTGCTTACACTGTTATCTATTTTTAGTCGCACCTTTCCTTCTAAACCTTTAAATTTGTCTTTATTTACCTCCTGAACTGTCAATTTCTGCTTTTCCTTACCATTTTCTGTTTATTATTTTGTGGGTATTTAAAATGAATGTATAAGAGGAGAATGACAGTTGAGGAGATAAGGCGGGACTGGAAATAGTTAGGAGATAAGCATGGACATAGTACATGAAATAAACATTGATAAATTTAATAGTTTAGAAGACAAGTGAGAATTGAACTCATAATTTTATATAGAGGTTTTTTACATTGAGTTCTATTTTCTATCCTTTCCAAGCTGTGACCAAAATAGCAGATCAAACAATAAATACGGATAAACTTTCCGGTCCGAATCATAATGCAATGTAATGCATTGTCAGGAAAATAATTCTTCTCACTCTGCACAGTGATCACCAACCAAAATAAGTAAATTTAGATGCTTACTTTCCCTGGACAAATTTTTAATTTCGATCCATTTAGAAAGATATTTGCCAAAAACAATCCATTTCTACTTTAATTACCAAAATCGACCCAGTTTCAGCCAACTGGCTGAAACTAGGTCGATTTTGGTGAAAAACTTCACCAAACTTCACAGGACTTCAAGTCCCGTGAAGTTTATGCTTGTGATCAAACATCACGAGACTTGAAGTCCCGTGATGTTTAGTGATGTGCAAAACATCACGGGACTTCAAGTCCGTGATGTTTAGTAAGGTCATCCAAACATCACGAGACTTGAAGTCTCGTGATGTTTCAGTTGGCATTTCCAGAGAGCAGACGCTCTCTGGAAAGTCCACCTGCAACTCCACGGGAGTTCAAGTCTCGTGGAGCTGCAGGTTTTAAAAAACATGCACAGTTTTTTATATACACGACGTTTTTTATAAATGATGAAATATACATGAATCAAACAAGCCCAACTATTTCACAACAATATACATGAAATGATTCGCCTCATTCAGAGCAATATACATGAATCAAACCATACACACGAAAATCACATATATACTGAATATCAACAATAATCATAAAATTCAGCCATGAATCAAACAATACTCACGAAAATCACATATATAAACAATAATCGATCCACAAAATTAACATATTTGAACAATCCCAAAAGTAACAAATTTGAACAAAAGAAAATCACATACATCCCAAAAGTCCTCCTCTCCTTCCTCTCCCTCTCTTTCCCCTTCCCCTCGCTCTTCCCCCCTTCCCCGCCCCCTCTGCTCCTGCTGATGAGCCTTAATAATCTGAGTATCTGGTTGTGTATGAGGCTAAGAAGTACCGGCTCCATCAGCATGTGTCGTGCTATGAGAAATGTTGGCTCCATCATCACATGGCGTCCTTGGACCTGGTCTACGTTGTCGCATGTACACTTCCCCAAATGATCGAGACCTATCCTCACGGCCTGCAAACTCGTCGACATAAGCCTTATGAAACATGCTTCCTATTCTCTGTTTGATCCTGTTGAAAATCCCTAACACTGTCGGATCCTGGATTTTGTTGATATGCTCATTTATATCAACTTCAATGTCATCAAAAGCATTGATCTGCGAGTTAATAAATATATACACAACTTAGCAGATAATATCTTAATAAAAAAAGAATTGAGTTTTAATTTAATTTAGAAACTTACATAATCTCTCTCGATCATAGCACTAGGGATGTAACTATCTGTCGATGGGCGTGGCACATATTCAGCAGATGGCTGTGGGTCGCGTGTGACCCATCTGTGTGTGATATCCTAATACTAACGCATATACGTGGTATAATCAACAGTTGTAACTCTCTCATCATATATGAAATCTCACCTATTAATCCACCTATCTATGTAGGCCGCACGGAATACGACCCAGTCCATACAATGCAATGTCATCCGTCGCCTACGATCGATTTGCTCAACAGGATCCGAAACATGCTGAGAGAGCAGAAATTATCGTAACACGATCTAGGACATGCATCTCCACAATCTCCTAACATATCAATATGATTCTGATTCTCTACAAAGCAGCGCTATCTCGACAAATAGGTGCAAGAGTATGCATATCGAGATCTGGTGGAGAATAAGGCGTCCACTTGAACTAAAATTTTAAAAAACTTTTATTAGTATCTACAACAAAATTAAAATATTCATAATGAATTGAGTTTTGTATTTATCTGTTGGTGTTGGAGGCCATCAAGCTCATTTCGATAAAACTCTATATTTCGCGTCGCTATTTTATACTTAGCGTACCTCACATTATACCTATTTGGTATAAAGAATATATGAGTACAAATTCAATATAAATAAAATTTATACATTAATTATACATGTATGCCAAAGGAGACTGGCCCTGTAGATTGCGGTGCACAAGCAAAGTAGGTCGTCTAATATGGATGCGTTCCCATGACCAAATCTATATTAATGTCATGCATCCATTGAATTCTTTATTCTGCATCAAGGAGACCCTACCTAGTTCTCTATACAGGTATGCCGCACTACCCCATGATAAACTGCTGCATACACCAAAATTCTCTAGCAGTGGCAGCCATCGTGCATGTACAAGATTTTTGCTCGCATCAGGAAATAGTATGCACCCTATCATGTGTAATATATAAGCACGAGCATGATACTGAAGCGTCTCAATTGTGGTATCAACTGGTATATCTCCTATAAATATCATATGAATCCACGATAGCTTCATCGCACCACTCCTCAAGTCGATAACATGACCAAGAAGCATCTCACATACTTCAGTCCAATTATGATCATCAGTGTCCGTAACAAACGGGCCATCGATGCGGAGCTCAAGTATGACGATTACATCCTGTAGTGTAATAGTACACTCTCCTATATGCATATAAAAAGTGTTGGTCTATGGCCTCCACCTCTCAATCAGTACACTGATTAGGGACCAGTCAAGCCTAATATACCTCACTGTTGAACACTCCCAAAAAACCGGCTTAAGCTAACAACTGTAGTACTCTCTCATCCTCAACGACCCAGCCCGAATGACTCTGTGTATGTTCCACTATGGTGATTTCTGGTACAGGCTGCATATTAATCAAAATTGATTAAATATTTTGAGAAAAATTAAAATTAGCGCCAAAAAATAATGAATATATATACACCATTTTTTACATGTCCCAAGCCAATATAGTGTGAACGATGATCTGTCTGAAGGTACAATACGTCGGGTTGCATCGGTCCCGGGTCCATAATGGATGTATCTTAGATTAAAATATTAAAATATAATAAGTTAGATTTTTTAGTAGAATGACTTAATCATATGTATTTCACATATTCAAGATTCAAGATTCAAAGAAGAATGTTATATATTACAAAAACGAGAGTCACATGAAACAAGAATTAAAATATAAAGGTTACATATTACAAAAAATCATTGTCACATGAGAATAAGAACTGAAATTAGAAGGTTATTATAAAAAACGATTGTCACATGGGAACAAGGATTAATATTAAAAATCAACGCCTAATCCCAGTTGGACAACTGCTTT